GTTAGTTAGTTAGTTAGTTAGTTAGTTAGTTAGTTAGTTAGTTAGTTAGTTAGTTAGTTAGTTAGTTAATATCATTGTTTTTATTTTCCAATGTATGTATGTTACTTACACAGTTGTGTGCATGAATATTTGTTATGTGGGATGGATTAGATTTTTTTTATTGTAAAACAAATTCAAACTTACAAATTTGTAGTAAATGTCCTGATTMTTGCCTTCTTGTTTTATTTTTAAGACTTTTTTGGAAGAAATATTTGTAGATATATGTGAAATTGCTGTTTCTAGGATGACCATGTTCGTGCCTAATGATGCATGAAATAAAAAAGTGCATTTTGACATTTCATGTAGCTTACATTGACTCTGAACTCATTACTTAATTCTAAAATGTATGACATATCACAATGTGAAATTTAAAGAAAATGAATTGATGGGAAAATATAGTTAATGTGGTTGACAGAATTTAAGTCGTTTACAAGCTTCACCCAAATTCTTGTTTATAGAACTCTGTYGTTGAGTTGACCATTTTCTGTTGTAAGATCTTGGTGCTTAAAAAAGGTGGCTCCTTCACATTTTGAACCTATGAAATGACTTCATTAATAATACGTCACACTATAACACTTCAATACCACTCATCCTTGTTTTTCTACGCAATGCAAAATATATATTGCTACAAATAATTAACAAACTATAACCTAATTTGACCCTCAAACTTTATATTTAAACTTGTAGGATCAGCCTTTCCCCAACACTTACACACATGCACACACACATTTACATGTTCTTCGATAGCATCTTGCCAGTTTAGTCTGAATCTTTTCTGAACAGTGGTGTTTTGGAAATAAACCCTTTTTGTTTTAGGTTTGATCATAGATAAAACAAAAAAAAGGCACGACGGCTCAGTGGTGATGCCTCACAGCAAGAAGGTCCAGGGTTCGACCCCCCTATTATTCGGACCTGGGGTCTCTCTGGRTGGAGTTTGCATGTTCTCCTCAAGCTTGTGTGGGTTTTCTCCCCACAACACAAAAACATGTTCAATATGTTGCCTTAAAGGCCCAAGCCACYCTTGCAAAAGAGATCTTCGATCTAAATGGAATTTGCCTGGTTAAATAATGGTAAAATATAATAAAAATGTAAAAACACTAGTGGTTGAAGAGAAAAAATGAAAGCCACCAAAAGACTTCTAAAAGCCACCCAAGCTCTCTATAAAAATTTGTAATAGGCTTTTAGTGTAAAAATATATGTATTGTATTGCCATAATAGCTTTTGTGATAAGCCAATTTTTAATGCTTTTTTATTTTTATGCACCAACATAATTTCTGYATCAATAAATGATTCTTTTGAGGTTAATGTGAAGTTAACTCATCAGAGTTTTCATGACAATTGAGTTTAAAAACAGCCAATATTTCTCACTTTTGTTGAAGTTATCGAAACTTTTTTGTTAGAATGTGGAATATCTCTGCACAGCTTGTCTGTAGATTATTTTAGCCCCAACTTTTGCTTTAATGCTTTCTATTTCTCTATTTCCTCCCCAAAATAATTTCACTTCCACTGACTCTCTGACTGTCTGTGGTTTTATTTCTCTGCCTTTGACTCTGTTTTCATTTTACCAACTCAATATTTGTTGCACCAAGACTCTCTGAAGTGAACTTGTCAATGTTCAAATTTAAACAAATGACACACAATTATTGGCAACAAGACGTGATTCTGCTGATTTCTCCGATTTAATACAAATTAAGAGATAAACTTTAGTGGCAAATAATTTAATGGTAATTTTTATTCTAGGTGATGATCATGATGCATGTTTTCAAAAATATCAAATCAAAAACACTGAAATATCAAATATTTTGATATGTATCTATTGTGGCTTTAAATTAAAACTCATCATCAATATTCACTAAAAGGTTATCAAAATTATTTTAGTAAAACACCAATAATTTTATGCAATTTTATGTTATTAATTGAGTGTATTTTGTCTATTAGCTGACTGGAAGACAGACACCAGCTGCAACAAATACAACGTGATAGGTAAGGGGCATGACCCCCCCCCCACACACACACACACACACACCGTATGTATTGACAGTCCAAACAGGTTCAGGTAACGTGTTCAAAAGCTGCCATTCATACAGACGACAGAAACTCGCACTGAACCAAACCTCGGAGCCAGCTTATAGTTGACACCCAGCATGTTTACTGCAGACACAAGGTGTCACCTTCCAAATTTTTTATGATCCWTGTCCACTTTGGTGAAGAAGAGGACTGAAATGTCACCTGACCGTCACAGAGGAAACCAACACCCATAATATCATGTGTTTCTGCACTGTGGTGAAGCATGAAGGTGATTTTGCCTGAGCCTGTTGTCTGCATAGTAATCCTTAGTGCATGAACAGAAGTCAACTGATCCAAGAAAGAAAATCCAGTTGCCTTTTAATCAGGTATTAAAGTTCATTCTCGTCTTAAAGAGAGGATTTGTTTCATGGAAAACATCTTTTTATCATGCCATCATTTGATTGGGTTGGATAATGAGCTTTAGAGCAGAGCCTTWAACAAGAGTCTCCATAAATCCTTTCCTCTTGTCCCGACTAAACCAATGGAGAAGTTTTTCAGAAGCCTCTTTCTGTGGTTTCAGGTGTGCATTTGTTTGCTGAATGACAAGATTATGCATAATAGTTTCTTATAAGCTGACCTGTTTGCCGGCTCTTAATTTAGAAAAGCATTCTCACAGGACCACAGGATGATGCTGCCGTCACCATGTTTGGTTTTAGAGATTAGAATAATAAGATCAGTGTCTGGTTTCCTTCAGAGACTGAGAGTTCAGCTCAAGAAGTCTTTTACAAACTCTTAATGTGTTCTTTGGTTTATCTGAGTGCCCTCTCTGTGAGGTCCCTATATTTTCTAAAGAAAAGTGAACATTAGCATGTTAAACTAGCCAGTAGGGTGCACAAACCAATGCATCTTTTATGCCAGTCCCTAACTAAATGGTCACAAAGGACTTCAAGTACTTGGTCGAACATATGGTAAAGAAGAGATTCCCTGGCAGGATGAAGTGGATGAAGAAAATTTCAGGAGTGACTTGTGGAAAAAGAAGTGTAGCATGAAAGCTTGTTTACCTGTTTGCCATATCCTCCATCAGCATGACTCCACATCGACAAAATCTATTTTGACTGCTTTCTTTCTTTGCAACCTGACATAAACCTGTTTTACTGGTATATGAACAGTTTCCAGTGGGATATACAACAGTTCTCCTGCAAATAAAGATATTAAGAATATGACAATAGCCTGTATTNCCATCAGCATGACTCCACATCGACAAAATCTATTTTGACTGCTTTCTTTCTTTGCAACCTGACATAAACCTGTTTTACTGGTCTATGAACAGTTTCCAGTGGGATATACAACAGTTCTCCTGCAAATAAAAATATTAAGAATGTGACAATAGCTTGTATTAAGAAATAGTATTTGAATATTTTCATTAACAGTTGTACTAAAATAATAAGGAATTAGATTAGTAAAAATTGATAACTAATGCTAGAGTGGTATTATTTTTTCTCACTCCTTTTCGACTTTTTTCCAGTTCTTCTTTATTTTTTGTTTCTCTCTTCTTTGCTTAAAATGATTGTCTGTACAWAGTAAACATGTTCAAAATAAACCAAACAAATTAACAAATGCAGTAACATTTAACCATTTGGAATAAATTTGCTTTCAAAGATAAGCAATACAAATCTCTAAATTTAATTTTGTATGTGTTTAATTTAATGTTTAATGTAACCCTAACCACCCAGACCTCCCCGGGCCAGCATCCTCACAAAATAAATTTGGGTATACGTCAAAATGTAGAGCTTTTTTAATTGTTTTCCATCTTCCTAAATTCAGGTCAAAGGTAGATGCAGTGACGTAGATGAAGTTACCAGTGAAACCACAGCCCTGCTTACAGGCGGTGCAGCTCTAATTCAGCCACCACTTCTGACCAAGTCTGTTCCCTTGCAGGTGTGTGAAAGCAGAAAGAGCTCATGAAGGACGAGGAGCAGCCGGGGCACTGGCAGGAGACRGGCAGATGGGTGGGCTACGAGGAGAGCTTCGACCCGCAGGCGGGGGTGTGGGCCTCCTCACAGATCTCCTACCTCACGTTCAGGAGCCTCATCCAGCTGCGGCGCACCATGAACACTGGTCAGTGACAGAATAAATTTAGTGTTGTACTCAAAGTTTCATTTTGTAACAAATAAAAAGCCTCCATAAGGTAGAGAAAGTTTTTGAGCACGATGTGTGTGTTTCTAACTCAAATCTAATTTACCTTTTTACTCAACTCAAGTTGTGACCATTTTCGACGGCGAGGAGAAGACTCTGGCTGCCATCGCTGAGAAGATGGTTGCTGAGATGGTTAATAAGAAGGAAATCAGGTCTGGAGACCGGGAAGGTGTGCTGAAATCGCTGGTCCAAAACCGCAGGTATCTTTTGAGACTTTAGCCAACAGTGACTCAAACACAGGGACCTACATTTAAGTATTTAGTTGTGGCAATTAACCAAAGCTCCTAACGAGGAAGGGAGGCTTTTATGGTCTGACTTGAAGAAAGTTGCCGCTGTGGAGACTAAACTTGTGATTATATGAAGCTGTCTCTGACCAACAAACCGCTTTACAGTACCTGTACGGCAACCACTCTGTACAGAAGTTACACAGAACATTTAACATCCAGAATGGAAGTCCAGCTGTTATTTTAGAATTTCAGCCATTTGTGTTTTTATTTGCTTTATTAAACACACTAAAGAAGAAAAACCTGGAAAGTAAGAAAAGGAACATGTCAACAAGCCTTTTCTGTCTGCAGTGAATCATCTGATCCAGAAAGTCAAAAGCTGACTGATGGAGTGGACCTGCACAAGTTTTCTGTCCAGGAAAGAGTATGTTTTTTTTCACTGATATCTCTGTGTTTGCTTTTTTATTGTTTGTTTGTTGTTTTTTTGGCGAACATTTAAAGTGGTGCAGAGCATACTGTATATAATACATTTCTGACTTGCTCTGCTCATTTTTCTGATCTTTCAGAAGGATGAAAGTGATCACGTCGAGGCCTCAATGGTGCTCGTAGGTACGCCACTAACTTTCCTTTTTTTTTTAAAAATGCTCCTAATTGTCTATCTACATTTGGGCACCTGCTTTTTGTACACATCTTTATTTCAGCACATGCGATTGTCCTGTACAATTTCAACTGCTTTGTTTTGACCAGGAGCCTTGGATTTCCTRGAGAAACCCACGGTTGCTTTTGTGCGTTTGAAGGAAGCGACGGCACTCGACTCAGCCCTGGAGGCCCCGGTGCCTGTTCGCTTTGTTTTGGTTCTGGTTGGCCCTGGCAAGGCTGACATGGACTACCATGAAACGGGCCGAGCTTTGGCTGCTCTGATGGCTGATAAAGTAAGTAGGATCAGAGTTTTGATAAGTGTAACGCATTACCAATTGCGGTTCTAAGGGCGGGGCCACTGGGGCATTGGCCCCAGCTGAAATCTGATTGGCCCCCTGAAGTGCCCCTGTCCTCTTTAAAAGCCATCTATAAGGGGGGCCTTGTTGTAAAGTGGTACATTTTTTAAAAAAAAATACATTACAAGTGTTTGATGTGTAAAAAGTACACACTGGGAATTTGTGTGAAAGGATGTTGAACAAATACTTGGCCCCTCTATGAATATTGTGGTCCCTTGATGGCCCCTTACTCAGAAAAATCCTAGATCCGCCACTGCACCAATATTATGACTCTGAGGAGAATAACCTGTAGTCTTTACAGGTAAATAAAATGCTAATGTTTTACGCATTTATCTAATCTTTGTTTGTTTAAAACAGATTGACAGAATATTTGTCACAGAAAAATAAAATGGATACGATCTGACTTCCCTGACTTCCGTCTCTACTTCCATCTCCACTTTCTTCCTCCCAGGTGTTTAACCAGGCAGCATTAGATGCAAAGAGTGCCAGAGACCTGACGGACGCTTTAGTCGAATTCATTGACTGCAGCATCGTCATCCCACCAACAGAAATCAAGAACGAAGCTATGCTGAGCTCCATCATCAACTTTCAGAAGAAATTCCTGAAGGACAGACTGCACTCCTCAGAGATCATGCCCCGCAGGGACTCCAAAGCTCATAGAGGTGAGGGCCTGTCTCACTACTACACATTGTCAGCCTTAACACCAAAACCAGTCTTTATGTTAAAAGGGAAATATTATGTGTTTCTCGGGCATACATATTTAAATACTGTACCATAATAAAGTGTCTATGTCATGTTTAGTTGTTATTAAAATATTATTTTTATGTTTAAATAGAAAAAAATATCTTATCACTTCCTCTTCTAAACGCCTCGAAATTGGCCTCTGTCTCTTTAAGAACCACCTTCCGCTTCTGTCCCGTCCCATTTCGGTGCAGGGGGGGAGGGGGGGGTCGCGCGCGTGTTGTGATGCAGTTTATTTGCCATCTGAAAATACATTTCCTCAAAGGTATTTTGAATCTGAAAAGACCTTCACTGAGTGGGCAGCAGTGTTAAGAGCAGCAGACAGTTTAAGTTTCACTTTCACTTTGCTCTGTTACTGCYGAGAGCCTGCAGGAGTCATGGACGGGGTGTGTGGGGTAAGGGGTGAAAGATTGGCTTGGAGACATGTCCCAGGGGTGTTTCTGGTCACAAAAGACATTTCTGGTCCCCACCTGTCATTTTGCTCCTCAGCATGGCTTCCTAAAAACGCTACAGGATTTCTCAAACATGCATAAATGAGTCAAAGCGAGGCTTTGGGCATGTTTTTTATGAGAGTATAACATTATAACATGATTTAAAACTCAAAAAAGTTGATTTTACATGATATTGCCCCTAAGTTTTTATGCCAATTTTTTTCCTCTCCAGTTTCTATTTCTAGTGGCTCTCCTGCTGAAGACCCCCTTTCTCGCACCGGTCGACCATTCGGGGGCATGATTCGAGACATCAAGAGACGCTACCAGTACTACAAGAGTGACCTCACAGACGCCCTGAATGCCCAGGCTCTTGCTGCTATCATCTTCATATACTTTGCTGCCTTGTCGCCTGCCATCACTTTTGGAGGACTTCTGGGTGTGTATGACATGTGTGTGTGTGTGCGGTGCCTCTGTTTATGAGCAGTAGGCACTAAATTTTCTGTCTTTTCAGCTGAYAAGGTGGACAACATGATGGGTGTATCGGAGCTCCTGCTTTCTACCAGCATCCAGGGGATCATCTTCTGTTTTGTCTCTGCTCAGCCCATCCTGGTTATCGGTTTCTCTGGTCCTCTTTTAGTTTTCGAGGAGGCCTTCTTCGCTGTGAGTCGTCTTTTTCTAATCTGTTGTCCATTTAGTCCTGACCAAATTCAACTCATCCCCGGTTTCCTTCATTTTTTAGTTCTGCAAGTCCCAGGACATCGAGTACATTGTAGGGAGGGTGTGGGTCGGGGTGTGGCTCATCATCATTGTGGTGACCATTGTGGCCTTTGAGGGCAGCTTCCTGGTGCGCTACATCTCACGCTTCACCCAGGAGATCTTCTCCATCCTCATCTCCATCATCTTTATTTATGAAACTTTTGCCAAATTAGGAAGGGTAAAAGAAAAAAAAAATCAGCATTATATGTTTCACAAATGTCATTCATTTACATAATTCTGTCACCCAGAACGTCTATCWATGTTTGTAACATCTGATCTCTTAATCTCCATTCAGACCTTCAAGGACCACCCACTAATTCTGAATTACGATCACCTGAACTCAACAATTGAAAACCCCTGGAACCCAAGGATGGAAGAGACCTTCATCTACGACAACGCCACCGGCAACATCACCATTATTGTCGACATGATAAAACCGCCATACCCCAACACGGCCCTGCTCTCCATGTGCCTCATGTTCGGCTGCTTCTTTATTGCTTTCTTCTTGCGGCAGTTTAAAAATGGGACATTTCTTCCTGGAAAGGTGAGTCCACGTGAAGTCTGCAGGCRACTTCAGAATGGTTTTGTCTTTTTGTTTTATGTGAATTTCCAAAGAATTTTATGAAAATTCAAACCAAATCCCAGAATTTGAAAAAGAAAATGGTTGACATTCTTGGTTGGCATTAGGTCCGTCGCTTGCTAGGGGACTTTGGCGTTCCTATTGCCATCTTCCTCATGATATTGGTGGACTACAACATTGAGGATACTTACACTCAGGTTAGTCTGCTTTCAGGTGCTTTGCTGAGTGTTTTTCAAGTATTAAAATAAACAGTTGATCTGATTAAACTGAGATKTGTTTATTTGCAGAAACTGGTTGTTCCCAAAGGGTTGACAGTGTCAAACCCAGACAAGAGAGGTTGGCTCATCAACCCCTTCGGAGAGCACCAGTCTTTCCCTGTGTGGTTGATGTTTGCATCCTGCATCCCAGCCTTACTTGTCTTCATCCTCATCTTTCTGGAGTCTCAGATCACAACGTAAGTCATTACACCTCCTGCAACATAACTAAATAGATCCTCAGCATCAAATAGCTTGATAGTACCATCCCATTGATTCATCCTTTGTGTCTTTGAACAGACTGATCATCAGCAAACCTGAGAGAAAGATGATCAAAGGTTCTGGCTTCCACTTTGACTTGCTKGTTCTAGTCGGAATGGGAGGGCTCTGCGCCATATTTGGCATGCCGTGGCTTAGCGCCGCGACAGTCCGATCAGTCACCCACGCCAACGCTCTCACAGTCATGAGCAAAGGACCAAAACCTGTGATAGAGCGAGTGCTGGAGCAGAGGATCAGTGGCATCGTGGTGGCCTTGCTTGTTGGTTGGTGTCTTTCCTTAGTAAAACACATGGACTTGGCACCTGACGTAGATTAAACACTGAACATTTCTTTTGTAAAATGAAATATGCACATCCAGGTCTGTCAATTCTGATGGAGCCGATCTTGAAGCTGATTCCCATGTCGGCCTTGTTCGGGATCTTCCTCTACATGGGAGTCACGTCACTGAATGGCATCCAACTGTGGGATCGTATACTGCTGCTTCTCATTCCTAAGAAATACCACCCTAATGAACCTTACGCCACCAGAGTAAGAGTCCTGTCATTTTAACAAAAAAAAAAACAAAAAAAAAAAACACATTGCTGAAACCAACATGATAAATCAAATACAGCAGACTATGACCCTCTGATGTCATGCTGGTCAAAATGTAGGACATTTGTGTTAAATCATCACATAAGTATCTTATTACATCTTGTCAGTTTTTGAAATAATTTTTTATGTAATAGAATTATGCCAGCTTCATACAAGATAAAGTGGTTCACGTGAATGCAAATTTTTATTGTAAACTAATACTGTTTTGAGTTATACTACTATTATTTACAGTAAATTTTATGCTCATATGCTAGTTTGYGGCATTTCCAGCAAAGTTTCAAAGTGTAATATTTCTGCCAAAAGTAACCGTATAATGTTAAATTGATGGTGTTGTAGCAATAGATATGCACATTAACCACAAATAATTTTTTGAGTTGGAGTTGTTTTAATCCATTTTTGATCTTGGCCCTGCTTGGACTAGTTAGTTGGTCTGAATTAAACTCTCCAAACTGAGTTAATTTAAAGAGTAATTTACAGCAGGTCAGGTATTTTTCCAACACTATTCGAATCAATYCATGCTCCCGAAATCACAAATATTGTCTCTGAAGAACGCCTGTGTTTCCTGGCTACAGGTGAGCACAGGGCGGATGCACCTGTTTACAGTAATCCAGATGGTGTGTCTAGCACTCTTGTGGCTTGTGAAATCCAGCCCAGCWTCCCTGGCGCTCCCCTTTGTTCTCATCCTYACCATCCCTCTGCGCATGTTGATGACTGGCCATCTCTTCACCGAGCTGGAGATGAAATGTGTATGTGTCTTCTTCTTCCTCTCCTCCTTTCAAGTGTTAACGTGTTCTTGCTGCGTTTGGTTGATTGTTCTCATTTGTCCGTTTCGTTTCAGCTGGATGCTGACGACGCCAAAGTGACGTTCGAGGAGGAGCCTGGGCAGGACGTGTACTGTGAAACTCAGATGCCTTTGTAGACATCTTCCTCAGCAACTAATGACACTATATGTATTGTTTATATTTTCTGAAAACATATATTTATTCTATTTTATCCTAACACAAACTTTTAATTTCCTGATGAAGACAAAAATATTTAAGTGGTTTTATATATTTATTTTTGTTTTATGAACATGAAATGCAGATAACAGATCCCAGCTGGAAGTGAATATGGATGAACAGCTTTAACATCTTAAGTTTAAATTCATTTCTTGTTTTGCTTGTCTGGAGAAGAATATTTTGTCATTTTCTTTTTTTTTCACAAAATACAATTTTATTCAAAATGCAAATGCTTTGTGTAGTTAAAGCTGGAGAAACGTAATTCAAAAGTTCAAGCCAACACCTCAGATTCAAAGCTTAAGTATTGAAAAAATACAGTAAATAAATATATTTTTCTCCCCTTTTGCAGTCACATTGAATGTAAGAGTATTTTTTTAAGTTTCTTTGAAAACAAGTCTTGTTTTCAAACATTTAGGCTAATTGTGAATAAAGATTTTGCATTTACAAGCTGTTGATCCAGCAAATTGTATGCCGGCTTTATTAAAGACATTCAAACAGTGTAAAGCCATAAAAAACGTTTTATTGTGTTGCTGTTCTTTTGTTATCTCTATGAACAAAATGATCGGCCATTTTCAGTAAGTTAGAGTCATTTTGAACTGGGCTTGCTCAGTAAAAGTACATCCAATGATTACCCTGTGAACGCTTCATTAGGTCTGTCCAGTGGGTCTTGAAATATTTTGCTAACAGACAATGTTGACTGTAACTCTGTGGCGAAAAGCAACAATGTGGCACAATGAGTAGCACTCAAATTATGTGTTGAGATTTTCACTCACAACCACACCAAATTCATGTGAATGTACGTAAAATTAGTTTTTGTCATGCTGATCATCTGTGGCAACCATCTTTAATTGAGTACATGATGTAATTAGTTGCAGGTGTTCAACCAGTGATTACTTTCTGGGAGTTTCATTTATATTTATCTCATGGTTTGCTCAGTTGGTAGAGCTGACGCCTCTCAGCAAGAAGGTTGCCGGAACAAATCCCGGCCCGGGGACCTTTCTGGGTAGAGTTTGCATGTTCTCTCCGTGCATGCTTGGGTTCTCTCCGGGCACTTTGATTAATTTGTAACTCTAAATTGTCCCTAGGTGTGAGTGAGACAGTGAATGGTTGTCTATCTCGTTTATCTCTATGTGTGGCCCTGTGATGGACTTGTGACCTGTCCAGGGTGTACCCCGCCCCTCGCACCGTGACTGCTGGATATGGGCACCAGTGACCCCTGTGACCCCAGAAAAGGAATAAACATGTATAATGGATGGATGGTTTGTGAAATATTTTGTTAATCAGGAGTGTTATAAACTTCTGCACAGTTCTGCAATTTTTGCTGTAAGATTTTGTATACAAAAACATTACTGATAATATACATAAATGTGGGTAAAAATGACTCAACAGTAAGTGTAGTCAAACAGTTTTTAATGTCAAATGACAAATTATCTAATAAACAATGAAAAGATTAAAATATAACATTGTGGTTCAACTTGATGAGTTACAATAACTAAATCAAAATATTATAAGTAATGTAATGTGTTTTTTTTTCTGTGTTTCCAAACTAATGATGAAGCTGAAAACTAATGTTGTAACAGAAAAGTGGAATTAGAAAGTTGTTATTAGAGACTGTAGAATAGCAAGTTGTTTGAACAGACTGTTTTATTTTAACATTTCATATAGTTTATTTGAATCTGTTAGGTTTAAATTGCGCAAAATTCACCAGCTCAWTCCAGTTTTCAGCATTTTAGATTCATGTTGCTGTACCACATCCGGGTCACTAGATGGCGCTTATCTCAAATTGTCAGGTCTATGTCAAATAAGCTGATTGGCTAGTTTGATGACGCTTCACTTTCCTCGTTTTTGATTGGCTTTTGTCACAGGAAGTTTCCGTATGTTGATGGAGGGTCGTACGAATGTAGTTGAAGAGCTAATCAATGCCACGTGTGTCTGTTTTCTTCTAACATATTTCAGTGTTTTGTTTTTATTTCTTTTAGCTAGACAAGACGACACCGACGGCAGATAGTAAACACATTGCTGTTGACAGGTTCCTGCAAGCTAGTAAAAGAGACGGAGTTTTTCCTGCTGTTTTCCTGTCAGCCCGCCAACTAAAACTTAAGAAGATATTTGGGATTTAAAATGGGGGAATCAGAAGATGAAGATGTTAAATCTGGTAAGTAAAATGATATCTATCTATCTATCTATCTATCTATCTATCTATCTATCTATCTATCTATCTATCTATCTATCTATCTATCTATCTATCTATCTAT